CCCTGTAAGAGGCTGCCTAGTCGGACAAGAACGCCGTTACTGATAGGTGTTGTTCACGGAATTCCGTCTACCCCTCCTCTACTCGTTGGGGCCTGTTTGGCTGGCAGGTAGTGGGATCCCTTCCACTACAGTGATGCTATCTCTCCCAGAACAAGGGACTACATGAGAGACGTGGTAAAACACCTGCTTTGCTTAGGGCTCCTCTCCACCGTCGGATCAGCTGGTACCCTGCTACCACCTCCTCTCAAGCTGGCACATTACTACCTCAATCGTCGGTTGTCCCAGAGGACACACAGGTGCTGGCACGCCTGCCACACACCTCCTCTCCTCGCTTCTCGGTCGCTGCCTTGGGGGTGGTTTTCCTTATACCATAAGAGCCCGGGGCTTCGGCTCCCTCCTCCTGGCCCTTGTCATATGGCCTAGGGGTTTCTATGATGGATTTAAGTTGTAGCCATTGGCCCTTAAGGGTTCGGTTTAGGTTTCTGCCTCTAGGTATTTCGTTCCTGGGGCTGGGTGCGTTCTTGGTTCACTGTCGAGTAGTTAGCTTTCTTTTGTCGCTTGGCGGTGGGGGTTATTGATTCCTAGTTTATGCCAAGGATTTCGGGCGGGAGTAGTTTTTTCTACCCCAGCGGGTTTCTTTAGCTCTGTCGTTCGGCCTGGTCCGGGGGGGGGGTGGTTTTTTAGGCGTGGTAGCTAGGGCTCCATATGCTGTTTTTGTCCCATAAACAAAATACAAAACCGGTCAAACAAAAAAAAGAAAAATATCCCTAGCTTTTGTTGAATTTTCTAATTCGTTTTATACGTATATTCTCCTTGATAATATCGTACATTCCTCTACTTAGTATTATTTCTAGTTCACAGACATTACTACAGCGGAGCATGTATTACGTATATTTCATTGATATTTCATGATATGATTAGGGGATTATGGCGTGCTTTTCTTATCTGGTGTTCGGGTATATTTCTTACTACTGTGTTGTACTTTCGTACAAAGTTATTAAGATAGTGCCGTACCCACACATTTGAACAGCTTTAAGTCCATCCTCCGTCTTGGCTACACCTCTGGTCATTGAAACATATTTCCTAATCGGGAACAACTTAACACTGAGGAATCATCACCACTTTTCCATAGCCATGCACCCCCGCCGCAGGGTGCACGCTCTTTCTTTCCAGCCTTTTGTCCATCCGGGCCTCTCTTCTACTCCTTCCCTCGTCTGGCATCTTGCCTCTGCTACATGGCGGTCCTCTCCTTACCCTAGGGGCCTTATCATGAGGTCTCTATCCTCTCTACCCCGCTTTTCCTTCACCTCGCTTAGCATGAGCACAGTCGGCATTGACGGCTTGGTGGTGGCTGGACAGTCAGTTTCGATGGTGGTCCTCTGGGCTATCTGGAGTAGCTTTGTCTACTTCTGTGACCCGAGTTGCAGCCTCCTACCATATTGTTTGGCTGGATCTATGCTGCCTTACCCTCTTCCTCTCCTCTCCTCCGGCATCGGCTAGCATCCTACTGCCAGGATTGGCTGGCACCCTACTGCCTTGGCCTTTGGGCCCTATCGTCGCTGAGGTGGTAGTGCTTTAGCCTACTCCTCCTACCTCCCCAACGTACCAGTATCACTTGGTGCTGCTCTCACTTCTGCCACCCTTGCAGCAGGTCTACAACTCTTACCTGGCTCTGGTGTCACTACAGGCACCATCCAACCTTTTCCACAACCAGACTCCTCACAGCTTGGGTCTACCCCCTCCCTCCTTAGCAGTATCGGCTGCCCTCCTCTATCACAGGTTGCTGGTATCTCTCCCCTGTCTTCCTCCCTCCACGCTTGCGGCCTGCCCCCAGCCGAATGACCAGTTGGCCTACCTTGGTATTGCACTATCTCCTGGGTTGAGCTGAGCGGCCCCATCATGGCATTTCGCCAGGGTCCTATTGTGGGCCCGACAGTGGACACATTCGTTCGCGGACACCTGTAGAGGGACTTGGGGGTTTCCTAATCCATTTTTTCCTTTATCGCGATGACACAGAAGGGTTTACTTTCCTCTTCTGCCTTCTCCCTGGAGTACGGTTGTTCCTGTGTGGGGCAGGATGTGTGGTTAGGCCCATGCCAGAGGGTCTTGGGGGGGTTGTTTTAGTCCGTGGGGCGCAGGGGAAGGCATTTGGAATTAAGGTTTTATTTTTGCCATACCTAGTGCTCCATGCAGGTTCTTGTACCTTAACAAAGAATATATAAGTTAAATAAAAAGAAGAAAAATTCCTAGCTTTAAGTCCATCATCCCTGACCGGAGCAGAGATCTTATCAATATATTCGTTCTACTTTACTTCTATCTTCATGAGCCTTCTTGACTATCTCCAAGATCGAAGATTCCAGGGCCTAGAGTATACTCGCTTGACTTTAGAGTTACCTACCTCCTAACAAGCCTATCCTAAAGCAGAAATATCTTAGTAGTATCCGGACAGTAAAGGGAGCAGGTGAAGAATGCAACTAGATATCATGATAAGGTTAGAATAGGTACTAGGGCATCAGAAATTAAGCAGCAAACAGAGTACAGAATCTAGATCTTCTTTCATACAAGCTGAAATTCAGATACTAGCATAGTAAGCCATTTGTCAGAATGACAACCAAATGGTGTTGGCACATCCAGAGAATAATTATAAAATAGTAAGTGATTTGGATGCCAGCCCTAGGGTGTGCCCCTTGATTGCAGTTATAAGACCTAGGTCATGGTATTATAATTAGGCATGAGGCATGAAACCAACGTCAGGATGTGGAATGTAGCACATGAGCAAAGTTAGGATAGGTGGAGAGAGAAATGAGGCATAGTCTAGATATGAGGAATGGTATAGAGGATTATCCAGTATCTGGAGGCAGGTGATGGTTATCTTTGGGATACAAGAGAGGTAGGACTTAGCATTCAGGCATGGCTTTGGTGTAGGATATGTGAGGACAAAAGATCTGGAGGTAGCATAGAAGTTTCTTTACATTCTGACTCACCTTTTGTGTCCTGAGCTTCCTATGCCTCTAACATAAAGGATGCACAGGATGCAGTGTAAAGTTTTTACTAATAAATCTACTGTAATGATTCCTACCTCTAGTAACAGGAGCTTACATAATAAGTAACAACATCCTTGTCCCTTATTTAGTAGTTTTAGGCTAATGCCTATGTTGTCTTTAATAGCTGAGTTCTTAACCTCTATCATACAACACCTACTGAATTAACTTAAGGTCAATAGCTTTTAGAGCATAATAGATAGTTGAAACAGTGTAAGGAGGCTTTCTTCTTAAAGTAACAAAGTAATAGGTAAGGAAATACTACAGATGGTAGCCAAAAGAACTCTAACTTTTGGGTCCTATTGCCCTCTTATATAGATGTTCTTCACACAACCCTGACTCTGGTAACTTATAACTCATGTTTAACATATAACTCAGTACTGTGAGTCATATGAAATCCTTCCGTTGACTCATATGAGTCACTGTACAACATACCTTAAACTATTCAAAACAAAATAATTAAATCTGTTGTATGACTCACATCACTGGTGTGAAGTCCATGACTCAGCACCTGAGTTATCTGGAAAATGAGTTACTGAATCCATCAACTAATTATAATATAATGACGACATCACCACTGTGAGTTGTATGAAATCCCATGACACTTAAAGTGAGTCTGGTATAAAACATAACATACCTCTGACTCAGAACTTCTCAGTATTGTGAAACCTAACCCTTACTAAGTCTTATTTATGACATTAGCTCCTGGCTCCCCTAAGCTCACGTCCCTTTAGACTTACTCTTCATTTTCCCAATTTTCTTTATTACACTAGCTATGGTTCTGGCCATCTATACTGTGAATCTTAGATTTTGTAACCTGGGACCGCTTGGCACCACAGATTATGTACATATCATAGGCTCTTAGCACCCCCTTCGCCTCACTTATCCTGAACCCCCGGTACAGTTACAACTATGTTCGCTTATTTTTGTCAAGATACACTTCCTAGACCTGTATTTTTTGCTGTCCACATGGACAAACCTTCTATTTTACTCGTACCGTGCTCTCTGCTCCTTTATTCCGATATCAGCATTGCCTTTGCTCCTGCAAGTCATTCACGATCACTTGTGCACGGGGCCACGGGCCGGCACAGTCTGAAATCCGAAGTCAACCCATAGCGTCTTCATGTCTATCATACATCATAACAGTGGTCAATATACACAAGTTTCCTAGTCCAGCGCAGCCTCCAGAGATGCAACATCATTCCATACTCGCTCCCATGCCAGCCCAAGTTTCCAAGATACCTGCTATTTCTCTATTCTAACGAAATAAACATTCCTGTAACCTTCCTGTTTTAATTCCCATGGCAATGCCAACCATCTCAATAGCCGCTCTAGCTTGTCGAGTAACAGCTACGGACAACAGCCCTCGACCGTAGACAACATCCCCCTACTGTGATACCCAATTTGATGAGACAAAACTACCTCGCCTGAGATGGCTCACAATTCCCTACTAATTTACTATGACACTCGTCGGAGTGATCGTTGCTGATGTCTCTTTGCCGGTAAACTTCGTTTCCTCTCACTCACCACCCGAGAACTATCATGGGTACTCGTAATCAGCCCACATCCGGAGACGAGCCTAGAACCGCAGATCACCCACTCCCGGATGCGAAAACCACCCGTCCCATCACTCCTAGTCCCCTGCGCACTAAAACCTAAAAAAGGGGAGAAAGGAAGACAACTATAAAATGGCAATATGGTAATTCCGAATGTTCTCTGCACTATCGGATGTGTTTTGATCAAGCAACATCCTAGCATCGCCTCCCCCTTTGCCTTGTTCCAAATCACGGTGGAACCAGTAAGGGATGCGATCATGTACTGGTAGTGTACCGTACCACACATTGTGTCTCACTCGGCTGTGGCTCTGGGATGTTGAAATGTTGTAAACATTGTGTGGGTTAGATCATCCGGGACATCTATGACCACAACCCCTATCAGAATCAGTAAGACTGGGACACCATCTATGTCGAGCACCAAGCTAGCAACGTAGTCTATGTGGCCCCGTCAATCTAATTAATGCTTACTGCGCTCATCCCATTGACCGGTCACTTTATCCCGATGAGATTGCTTGATCCACGTTTTTATACATCGAAATTAACGCTGTAAAATTGATAAATGATGTAATTCACAAATTAGGCGGAAATAGTCGCCCAATATGCAGTCAGTGGTATAAGTCAATCTACCCAATTGGTATTTAGTCCGTTTGGGAAGGGGCCTAGTCTGATTGTTATGAAGCGTGAGTGTGAATGTTACTGCCGTAGTTCGACGTAGTTTGCCGGCTTTATAAAACGTTAGTGATATCCTCACAAGTTAAAAAGGGTCAGAGTCACCGACAAAGAGTCCCCTGTTTCCCTTATAAGTACCGAACCACCAATCTTCATCAGGAAATTCCAAATCCTCAATGATCGCGTCCTCTGGGAAGCTGAGCTCATTTTCTTCGGCTGCTTCATAGTCATAGAGCGCAATTGCAGTCTCACTGGGACCTAGCGCTTGGGGTTGGGGGGACTGGGGCTTCAGCTCCGACCTGTCTACCGGGGCTTGTGGAGAACGAGCAACCACCGTATCCTCCATGAGTTCGACATAATTGCTAGGGAATAGGCCATGCTCACCCGCAGCATTACGACCAGCCCACCAATCCTAGACCCAGTTAGTCTATTTTGGCCCAAGAGCTATCAATTTCAGTGAATCATAATACCTCATCGACCAGGTCAATTTCGCCAATAACCTGTCCCTCCACCAAGCTAATTTCATTCTCCTCTCCCGCGTCATAGTCGTACAAGACCACAGCCTTCTTACCGCTAGTGCCCTCACCTCCAGCACTAATTCCAAATGCCGCACTTCTGTCATGTGCCGACGCCTCTCCCGATTCTCCCTCATTTGGAACGAGAAGAGCTAGCCTTTCTGTTGGGATCGGAATTTGTGTCTCAGGCTCGTCCTTTGACACTGGTGGGCTATCCAGCTTTCTAGCGACTGGTAAGGCAATCCTGAACGGACTGCCAGGAGCTTCAGGAGTCGGCGGGGATGGCGAATTGGGTTGGGGAGGAGGTGGCGGAATGACCACAGCAGGAGTAGGCGGAGGACGTGAAGATGTATCAATCGGCGGCGGCGGGGGCACCTCGCGCTCTGTACCATGGAACCCGCCTGTTCGCTGAGGGCTTTCTGGTGATGCAGGAGTGCCCATCGGGGGCAATCCAGCAAAGTTACTCCTCAATGCGCCAACACCACCTGTGGGTGTTCGCACCTCCTCCCCGAGCGATGGCAGACTATCAATCCTCGGTTGAGAAACCCTTGTCACAAGCTCATCACCGCCCCCACCGCTATGCTCAGTGGCTGAGGCGCCAAGTGTGGGGCGGTGTTGCCCTGCATATCCGGCAGAAAGCGATGAGGGAGTTATTACGCTAGCCCCTGGCATACCACGTTCCCGGGCCTTCTTCTCAGCCCAGAGTTGAGCAGGAGTCTTGCCGCCGGAGGAGCCGAAGTCCCTACTGGCAGCACCAACTGCTATTGGCACCGGCACAGGAGGTGGTGCAATGCCAAAACGGCCAGGTGTTGGGGGTTTTGTTCCGAACACTGGTGCTCCGGCACCATATTGCTTCGCGGGTTTTGGTTTAGGTAGCGATGTAAGGCGTTCACTTTGAGAAAAGACTGCATTGCTTCCAGTTAACGACTTGTGACCTTGCTCCTCTTCTGCAGGCGGATTCGAACTGGGAGCAGGTTGATTGGTAAATGACCTGGGATGAGCTTGGGCTCTTATAGCCGCAATATCTACCTTCCCGACCGGCTCATAACTTCCTTTGACAATATCCGGGCGGTCCTGCTTCTGGCCCAATGCTCTAAGAGCTGCAATATCCACTTTTCCGACGGGTTGATAGCCACCTTTAACGATATCGGGGTCACTTCCAAAACGCGATCCAGAGGTAGTAGAAGTAGGTTGGGCACGAAGGGCTGCGATGTCAACTTTGGTAGGCGTGTAAGCCGATGATACCTTCTCCAGTTGGCTCCGGGTGACGGGGGGAGCATCAGCTCCCCAACCATCTGCATCCGTACTTTCGTCGTGCCTGTAGGGTGAGCGTGATGGAACAGGATTAAGCGGTCCACCAGAAACCTTGGTTGGTTGATAGGCCGGTTTGTAAGCCGGGGCAGCTGGCATAAGGGTAGGAGGTGGAGGACCAGTGGCCAGGCCACCAGCGGAGTATTTCGCACCAGACGCATCGGCAACCCTCTGGAGAATGGATTCCGGGGTAAGATCTGATTCTGAGCGGGCAGTTATTTGTACATGGTATCCCTATGGTTTCATCAGAATACTGTTAACACCAAATAACCAACCGAAACTCACATGAAGAACCTTAGATACCGTGTTGAGATGACCGGTGAAGTAGCCTTTTACTCTCTCCGGTACACCATCCCCGCACTACTTTTGTCAGCGAATTTTCTAGTTTGATCGCAGGATCAACGTGGAATGGGGGAATTATACCCAAGCTATTAAAACGAATTTGGCCAGGCCAGTGTTGGCATCTTTGACCTTTACAAAGGCAAATTGCACTTTCCCGTCGTTGAATTCTTCTAGGAGATCTCGGAGCTCGCCCTCTAGAGAAAGTGCAAACAGCTCCATCAGTACGTCTCTTAGAAGGGTGAGCTAGCGGGAATGAGGCGACATTATCTCAAAGGATCGAGGGTAGAGAGTTGGGAGCTACCTGATGTAGTGTGTACTTTAAGGACGCTTGCTCTGGAGGCAGTGGCAGCCACAAACGCGTTGACCAATGGGGTGGAGACAGTGAAGACGGCCCACTGTGCATAAGTCGCCGATGGTTTGTTGGCCGGAGGGGAGTTGACTAAGCTTTGATAGGAGCGACCAATTTCGTGAGAAATATCGAGTGAAGCCATAGCGAGGGGAGTGAATCCAGCGAGGATGAAGTTTAGACGACGGCGAGGTTAGATGTGGGACATGAGAGGGAAGAAGGGGGGCAGGGGGGGTTGAATCAACCCAAATAGGGGAACAGGCGGGCTTGGCTTGGTAGAGAGATCAATGGTAGCTAACTTAATTTGCTGAGGTTTTTTTAAGTAGATTCACAGCAATGATGAGGACAAATTCCGGCAGCTGGTAGATTGCCGGGGGGAAGTTAGGAAAGCTTAAGAATTGAAAGAGGAGAGAGGAAGAAGAGGCAGAGGCAATTATCGAAGGAGATCGTTGTCCCTCGATTAGTCGGAAAGGGTACAGTATCGATGTTGAGGCACAACTCACTGTGACGAGTCGGAGGCGGGCCTGAACTGGGGCCAAACTGCGTGAACTAGCGGTTAGTGTAGGTTAACACGTAAAAAGATCCGTGTCTTCCGCAAAAGCATCCCAGCAGGCTAGAAAGGGATACAGCTGGTCATATGTAGGACGGGTGCAGAAAAAACTTTAGAAGTTGGCAATGAGCACTGCAACAAGTCCGAAGACAGATAACCTAATACCGGTGGATCCATTTGTAGAAAACTGAATGTTCAGGATTAATAAAAATAAAATTGAGATTATGTAACAAAGAATAGGAAATCATAATGTATAATATTATTATCAAGCAAAAACCGTAACCTTCATAACTAATATGAAATAAATAGAAGAAATATAAATAAAAACTTAGTAGAAATTAACAACAAATAAAAAAATTTGGAGTATTGAAAAAATGGAGGAAATAAAGGTATAAAAAAGAGAAAAATAAAAAACTATTGGAAGAAAGGAAAATAGAAGGTAAATAGAAAAAAAATATAAATAATAAAAACCTAAATATTATTCATTATCAGAGGCTGTATAAGTTAAAACCTGATTATTGGACTTTTTCGAAAAGTGCACGAAAATGTCTTATATATTTATGATACTAAATTTTTAGTTTTTTGAACATAAAACATGCTATGGAGGTTATCTGAAGTTCTAAAATATTTTCTGAGCTACTATATACCTACTTTACATAACTAGCAAAGTAGTTGAGCAAAAATAAATATTTTGTAGTAGAGGCCCAATAATCAGGTTTTAACTTATACAGGCTCATTATTAAGACCAGCAGACCAACTATCCATGTCAGAACCTGGATGAACAAGTATTACTTAATTTACTTTTGCTACTTGTTTTATCAACTAAATAAAATACACTCGCAGTTATACTACAAGTACCAGGAATGATGTTTTTGTATAGATAATTTAAGTTAACCCATAAAATAATCTTTGTCTTTCTCATAAAAATATCTCATTTGGCACTTGTAGAAGACTAGTATTGTTCTTTTACAACCTTATAGATTTTAGAAGTCCTCTTCCTTTTTGGTCAAAGACTTTTCCGCCATATTCTAAGTTTATAAAAAGATCCTCTAGGAAGTACAGTCTGTTGTGAGAAGTGTTTGTGATGTGAGACCTGTTTGATTAGCAGTTGCACCTTACTTGTAGTAGGATACAGATAGTGGGATACTGGTTGTGTATTATCAAGAAGCGTGTACTCCTATACTCAAGTGAATGATTACCTAAATAATTACTTCAATAATTGACTAAACCCTATAGCAATTAATAAATAAATAGAAATAATACTAGCTAGTACTTTCTATAACCTTTCCTTACTCCCAAAACTGTAGCTATTCTATGTGGCATTGATTTCCACAACTTCTCAAAAATCTCCTTAGGAATTGTCTTTTAAACTAATAGTAGTACATGTTCAAGCCTCTTCTTGACAGCTTTCTTTCCTCCAGGGGTATCTCCAATTCTTGGATACTGCTAGTAAAGATACTTTTCAAGCTCAATCCATACATGCTCAATTGAATTTAAATCAGGAGAATCAGGAGGATATTCTTTAACTTCAATACAGTTTCTCTCCAACTAGTCTATAATATTATAAGCCTTATGAATAGAGGTATTATCTTGCTAGAGGAGAATATCTTGCATACCAAAAGATATTATTTTAGTGAATAACAGGAAAAAGATATCTTATTAAGAGCCTAACCGACCTGGTCTTATTGATATTTTGAGTAATAAGAATCAAAGGACCTTTTCTCTTACACTAAAAGTATTTCCAAACCATAAGTGAAATCCCATTATCCTTTTCTTTTGAATAAATACAATCAGCTATTCACTTCTTCCCAGGTTCTCGGAAAACTGATTACTGTAACGACCCTACATTATAGACCTATGGCAACCTAGGTCTCTCTGCCCATATGTAAAACTTAGAGGTTATATGGTAAGCTAGGCAGGTGTACTGGTGCATATCCAAGCAATATCCAATGGTCCAGATCTCCTAAAGAATAGAAGGGACTTAAGGAATAGGTGTACCTAAGTAGCGGAAGTAATATGACTAGGTCTGCTTTGGCCTAAGGATAGGTCGGAAGGCCGTGTGAGTTTACTCTATTTAGGAGACTCACATTACCTTACCATAGAGACCAGTTTGCCTGTCACCATGGACATAGTTACCCTACCTTTGAAACACTATTACCCGACCTTCTGTTGGAAATATTCTCAGAGGAATTTAGGGAAATGTTAGGATTGTGTATTATGCAATGATGAGCAACAGGCCCTTGCATGCATACTGATTGAAAGACTATAGGAGGAGCTAGAGTACTCCGAACATGCTGTAACTGGGCAGAGTTATTTCTAAGTGGTACCTGCGGCCCCCGGATTTACCACAGGCATTATAGGCTAAAATGGGTAGAGATGCTGTCTTACTAGTTAAGTGAAGTCTATAAAGTATAATGGACAAGGTCCAGGCAGGTAGTCTTAGGCATGCCATGGTCAGGCTGCAGTGATATGAACAGGGTCAGCATCCCAGCAAGGGTCTTTGCATCAGGATTCTGATATCCTACCGGAGGTCTAGACATCGGCCTTTGGTGTCTAAGGTGAATCCAGCTTATTGGTATGCAGCTAAAGAACAAGGTCCCAGAGAGTCTAGTATCCCACTAGAGGTCTAGGGATCAGGGGCGGTATTCCACCACCGAGGTCTATACTGAGGTCTGGTATCCCACCAGAGGTCTATGTATGAGGACTGATATCCCACCACCGAGGTCTGTACTGAGGTCCAGTATCTCACCGAAGGTCTAGGCATCAGGACTGGTATCCTACCACTGAGGTCTATACTGATGTTTGGTATCCCATCAGAGGTCTCGGCATCAGGACTGGTATCCTACCACTGAGGTCTAGGGATGGGGGGCCTTGTGGGCTTAAGGTTCTTCCATCTCACTAGGAGATGGCCGAAAGGTGAGATTCAAAGAGGGTTTCTGACATCAAGCTAGAGTTGACCCGGGAAGGTGTATAACCAACTATGGCCCAACTAGGAAGCAACCATCGAGGGCTAAGGTAGTTGTCCGGTGTCGCACCAGAGGTCTTAGCAAGAGAGCCTTGTGGACTTAAGAGTCTTCCATCTCTCTAGGAGATGGCCAAAAGGCAAGGTTCAAGAAGGGTTTCTGATATCAAGCCAGAGTCCACCCGCCAGGTACATAACCAACTAAAGTGTAACTAAAGAGTAACCATCGTAAGCCAAGGTAGTTATTCGGTATACTACCGGAAGGCTAAGCAAGAGGGCCTCATGGGCTTAAGATTCTTCCATCTCACTAGGAGAAAGCCGAAAGGCCTGGTTCAAAGCAGGTTATTGGTAAACCACCAAGGTCCGAAGGTTTATTGCCGAATGCAATATTGTTAAGGGATTCATAAGAGTCAGAGGCCTCAAGGTCCTAAGGTCTACCAAGGTTCTTGCAGAAGGACTATTATCAAGATAGTCAATTGTAGACAGGCGGACACAAAGGAAGACCACTGGTACAGAGGATTCAGGCAGGAGAACTATCCTTGGGATAGTTAACTGAGGACAGGCAGATATGAGGGCAGGTCATGAGGGTAAAGGCTGTTGGTAGGAGGACTATTATCGTGAGAGTTAACTGTAGATAGGTGGACATGAGGGAAGGCTGTGGGTACAAAGGGTTCAGGCAGGAGAACTATAATCAAGATAGTTAAGCTAGGATGGGCAGACACAAAGGAAGGACACCGCAGCAAAGGGTTTGGGTAGGAGAACTATGATCCAGATATTTAACTAAGGATGAGTGGACATGAAGGAAGGCCACAGGTACAAAGAGTTCAGGTGGGAGAACTATTGTTGAGATAGTTAACCAAGGATAGGGGGACATGAGGGAAGGCCACAGCAACAAAGCATTCAGGCAGGAGAACTATCATTGAGATAGCTAACCAAGGACAGGTGGATACGAGGCAAGGCTAAAGGTATATTAATCAATTTGCATGAGCCATATAACCGGCTCAGGGTTAGGGGTCTTGCTAAGATTAACAAAGTAAAGACAAAGAGTTAAACACAGAGCAACGTAGTATCAAGTTTGTTCTATGCAGGTTCCACAACACAGAGTAGTAACAATCTGAAGGTTACTTCATGATAAACATGAGAGCAAGGTGTTAGGGGGTAGGTAACTCTAAGGTCAAGCAAGTATACACTAGGCCCTGTAATCTTCTGTCCCAGAGATAGTCAAGAAGGCTCGTAAAGATAGAAGTAAAGTAGAATGAAAATATTGATAAGATCTCTTCTCTGGTCGCTGATGATAGACTTTAAAAGCTAGGGATTTGTGTTTTTTTTTGTTTGACTTATTTAAATTTTTGTTTATGGGATAAAAAGGCATCTGGAGCGCTAGCTATGATGCCGAAAAAACCACCCCCCCCCAGACCAGGCTGAACGACAGAGCTTAAAGAACCCTCTGAGGTAGAAAAAACTACTCCTGCCCATAATCCTTCCTGTAAACTGCTCCACCCAATAACCCCCACCGCCAAGTGACCAAAGAAAGCTAACTACCCAACAGTGAACCAAGAACGCGCCAAAACCCCACGAATGAAACACCTAAAGGCAGAAACCCAAACTGAACCCCTGCGGGCCAATGATCACAACTCAAATCCAATATAGGAACTCCTAGGCTATATGACGAAAGCCAGGAGGAGGGAGCAGAAGCCCCAGACATGAAGGGTATAAGGGAAACTACCCCAAAGGCGGCGACCGAGAAGTGAGGAGAGGAGGTGTCTGGCAGGCGTGCCAGCGACGGTGTGCCCTCTGGGACAATTGACGATTGTGGTAGTAAGGTGCCAGCTTGAGAGGAGGTGGCAGTAGGGTGCCAGCCAATCCGACCTTAGAGAAGGGGAGAGGAGGGGTAGACCCAAATCCATGAAGAACAACTATCGGTAATGGCGTTCATGTCCGACTAGGCAGCCTCTTATAGGAGTAACAGAATAGAGAGATCGACCGTAGCCCGTAAGCTGTTCTCTCCTACGGCAACTGTAGTCCCAGCTGTCTGTTGAAGGTGGAAAAGGGGGTTGCCCACGACGCCAATACCTAAGCAAGGTGGGGTAGGAAGAGGAGAAACATCACGAAGATCAAAGACCACAACCAAGGATAGAACCAAGAGAGCCAATAAGTAAACAAAGGTCTCAAGGGAGAGGGGAAGCGAGCCCACCTCCTGTAGCCAAGGCTAGATGGGGGGAGATGGGGGGAAGCGTAGTGGTGCTAGATGATGAAAACCACGATAGTAACCATGGTGTTTAGTTTTCAATCCCCAGAGGTGTAGCCGAGACGAAGGATGCTTTAAAAGCTAGGAAGGCACCTCGGCATTTATAGTCCGTATCTGGGTGGTCGCGGCCTACATCTAATCCCTTAC